ATGATTTCAGGAGCCTCTCGTCATCCTCTTCTCCAAATCGTGAAATCTTCCTGTCGTGCCTGTGGATTCCCAGCATTTGTCCCCTCCATGCTACACTAAGTTACTTCAATACTTGTTATAAAAGAGGCATAAAAAAATTATTGCTGGCTTGGTAGATTTCACAGACAGCACAGAATCAACATCCTACATGCTTACAAAACGGTGTCTAAGACTAAAAATTGAGACCTTGATACGTGGATATTTACCTCCTACTTTTGTGACCTGCAAACGACCATTTTGCAGGACTATGGCAGTTGTCAAACAATTATTGGCAGGCTTTATGAGGTCATTTCAATTAGTGTCCTCTCAAACAGTAACTGGAGAACCCATGCTTGCAAATGAGTACATATAACTACCACAGGCTATCCAACAACGGCTCTAAACTGGACTGGACCGTTTACACAAACTTGCACATCTCTTCCTAACATTTAACGATCTTAATACTATCAACAAAAAAATTGCACTTCTTAAATTTAACAAGCAGCAAATGATACTTGCCAATAGCTAAAGGAATATATAAATTTTGATTGGTTTTAGAGTACATTGTACAAGCTTTCCATCTGTTTTCAAAATTAATTGCACCTGTAGTCTGTTCTTAGTGCTTGGGATTTTGTTGGTACATACAACATTCCAGGCGACCTAAAACTTGTGTAGAATAAATGTTCAAGTGCACTCAGACTGAGCACTTACTACAAACTGAAGCTTGGATCAAGGGGGGGTATAGTCCCAACTGCTACACCTTGCCCTACTGCTACACAAGGCCCAACTGCTACACATGGCCCAACTGATCATCACTACAAGCTAGCTTCTGTTTGTTAGTAAAACAAAAAGCCATATCTAGTTGCTCCAAGAAAAGAACCAAAAAATAAAAGCAATGACAGGAAACTCCCTGAAAACAAAATGTGATTGAGATAAAAAAAATTTTCATTATTTACAAGACTTGTATTATTTTTATGTACACTGTACATTTGTTATGAGTTGCATTGCCGTTTTCTTTAATGTACGTATTTTCTAATTGGTTTAACGACTATTTTTCGTAAAGAGCCTTAATATGCATAGGCATTTCCTCAATGGAAAAATGTTACTAGTCTTGACAGACTCGACATGTTACAAAATGGCTGAGCGCAGTCTTGCGACTCTAGAATCAGTGTGTGCACGTGGTGCGTCCTATGGTTTCAGTGTGCATGCTACGCATCACCCTGTTCTTTGC